TGATGGCTGAGTAGGATTTCAAAGCGCAGTGGCAAGGAAGCCTGGAGTGTATCGAAGAACTGCCTGCTGTCAGAGCACCAGGCTGTGCGGGGCCGGGAAGCCTGCCTTCTCTGAGCTTGGCACTCCTCATCTTGGACATGAGGTGATCACATGCCCTTCTCGGCTGTAAACGTAACAAGGCTAAGATTGTTTAAAATTTACTCAAGAGGGAAGATTCACTGGTCCTGTAACTGCCCCGATCTGAAACCTACCTGTAGCTGGGGGAAAGCAGGTCTTAAGAAAGCTGAAGCCCTGGCCCATTTGGCTCAGTAGTTAGAGCATAAGCCTGCGGACTGAAGGGTCATAGGTTCGATTCTAGCCAAGGGCACGCACCTCGATTGCAGGCTGGATCCTCAGCCCCTGTCGTGGTGCTTGTGGGAGGCAACCAATCGATGTTTCTCTCTCTCTCTCTCTCTCCCTCTCCCTTCCATGCTCTCTGAGAAGCAATGGGAAAAATATCCTTGGGTGAAGATTTTTCTAAAAAGCTGAAAAAGGCAGGGTGGTGTCCTGCAAAACCCCTGCCCGTTCCCGAGATGTATGCCCAGGCTCCCCTCCTCCTGCCAGCTCTCCATGGACACAGCAGTATCCGGTGGGGGGCCAGGAAGTGGAGCCTCAGAACATCAGACCCTGTAGACATGCAGCCAGGTGTACTCCCAAACAAACAGACAAAATCGAACATTTCTCTGTCATCTTTTGTGGGGTTGACTTCTCCCCCCAAATGACTTAAGTGTCTGATTTGAAAACATTGTTTTGAGGGTAGGTGTGCCTTTTTCTGTGGCTGTACCCCTGGAGGAGAACTGTTTTTTTCTAGGTGGTAGGATGATGGATGATTTTCCTCCCTTTTTTTCTTTCCTTCTGTATTTTACTATATTTTCATAATAAGCAATTATGATTATGTGAGAGTATTATCTGGCAGATGGTAAACATTCGATAAAATTTTCTGTTTATGGATTTTTTTATTTTAATAAATGTCTCATAATATGTACAAAATGCTCATAAATTAGATACGGGTCTTAAGCTCGAATTATAGCAGAGGAGTAAGATTTTCCCAGAAATAAATATGCTTCAAAAGAGAAAAGGAAAAGTTTCTTAAGAAACAGATAAAGTGCTAAGGAAATCCAGAGGAGGGAGGGAGCCCTTCCAGACTTGGGGTGACGAAGGGGCCACCTGAGCCCTCCGGGCCAGCTCTGCACTGTGAAGCAGCCAGTTTCCTTTATCTTCAAACAGAGCCGACAGTGCTGGCTGTGAAGAACGGCCAAGTTTCCTGCAGGGAAACCCTTTAAGGGGCATTAGAGTCAGAGACTTAAAAAGACAGGCCTGGCCCAGGCTGATTTGGCTCATTGTTAGAGCATCAGCCAGCAGACCAAAGGGTCTCTGGTTCGATGACCGGTCAAGGGCACGAACCTCGGCTGCAGGTACAGTCCCCTGCCCCAGTCAGGGCTCATGCGGGAGGCAACCAATCAATGGGTGTTTTTTGTGTCGATGTTTCTCTCTTTGTCTCTCCCTCCCTTCCACTCTCTCTAAAAATCAATGGAAAAAATATCCTTGGGTGAGGGTAACAAAAATACAGGCCTGGCCCCGACAGCCTGACTTGGAGCATGGGCTCTGGCACTTACTCCAGTGAACCTTTGCAGATTGTTCAGTGTCCACATTTGTAAGATGAGAATATTAATAATACCTCCTGCACCTGATTATTGTAAGGATGACTTAAAGGAGTATTTATAGAGTGTTCAGCACCAAGCATGGCCCCAGCCATGGTCAGAAGACAAAATGAGTGTGCTGGTGCGGTCCTGGTCCTCTCTTCATGGTTTCAGTCTGTGAGGAAAGTGTTACAAACTACATGCTATAGAAGGAAACTGGATCTTTATTTTTATGAATGGGCTCCTTACTATTATTTTTTTCAAGGGCACTAACCTCGTAACAAAACATGATTCAAAGCACTGAGGGTGATGTCAGTAAACTGACCTGTCAAGAGCCCAGCCTCGTTTCCTGGCTGCACTCGGGCTTCTGGAATAAAGGCACAGCCAGACAATGGCCCTGCCTCCAGTTCCTCCAAGCTGAGTGTTGCTGCTGAGAGCATTGCAACAGCTCTCGGCAGGTTTTTTGTTCCTTACTCATCCTGATGTTCTAGAGAAACACTAGGCCCTTTTTCTGGCTTCCCCACATTCTTGACCTTATTCACCGTCACATCATCCTCAGGGCAGAGGATGGTGAAACTGACTCAGAATTAGAAAATCATGTCTTTACTATTAAGATGCTGTAGCTTATTTTTGCAAGTATTTTTCAGCTTGTAGTATGTGCCAGGCACTTACCCACATAAGAACCTTACAGGATAAATGCCATTTTAATTCTTGTTTTACATTGGGAAACCAAGATACGTACACAGCTATGTCAAGGTCATACACAGCTGGGAACAGGAAACCCAGGTCTCTGAGCCATTAACTGCTGCTCTCCACGGGTTACCAGGCTGGTGTTCTTTTTTTTTTAATGTTTTTATTGGTTTCAGAGAGAGAGAGATGAAAACATTGATCAGCTGCCTCCTGCACGCCCCCTACTGGAGGTCAGATGGGGAATCGAATGGGTGACCTCTTGGTGCATGGACTGACACTCAGCCCCTGAACCACACTGGCCGGGCCAGGCTTCTGTTCTTTTTATTCCACTGCAGTCCCACAGCAACTTGTGGGAAAGCCTTCAGATTGGCAAACTCCCTCCTAATATGGGGTAGGGCAAAGTAGGGTTACAGTTGTGAGTACAGGAAACAGTTTATTCCTGTATTATTATTCATTAATTATTGTATTATTTTCCATATGAACAACTGTTAACCTACTTTTGCCCCACTCTATACATAGTCTCTTCGCTTGGCCCTTTCTTGATGAGCATCAACATTTTCTAAGAACTAATTAAAATTCTGGTTAACTTACAAACTACCACAGCCTTACCCATGCCTATAAATAGCTTCTTCTTCCCCAATAGTACTCCAACCCCAACTTCCCATCCAAGTAGCTTTAAGACAAATCAGATCTGCTTCTTTGTGGGAAAGGCGAGTGAAGCCCAGATTTACTTCTAAGCCACACAGTATTTTGGTAATAAAACAAGTAAGCGATACCTCTTACCTAGTGGCCTCAAATGTTTTCTTTAAGCAACAGATTGACTAGCTCTCCTCACCCCTGGCCTGGCTGAACCCGGGAAAACTCTCCCTCCAACCCCTTCCCCATTTGTTTTAATATGCTTAGCTCATTTTTCTAAGAGGAGATTATCCCATTTAGAAAGAAGGGCCAGGCTCAGTGAAATAACTATTTTGAGAAGTAGCATTGGCATGTGTGTGACATGTGTGTTGGCCTAATTAAGACTCATTTTCCAGCCCAGCTGGGCGTGGCTCAGCGGTTGAGCGTCGGCCTAGGATCCAGGAGATCTCAGTTCGATTCCCAGTCAGGGCACATCCCCGGGTTGCGGGCTCGATCCCCAGTCGGGGGCTTGCAGGAGGCAGCCGATCAATGACTCTCTCATCATTGATGTTTCTCTCTCTCTCCCTCTCCCTTCCTTTCTCTGAAATCAATAAAGATATATTTAAAACAAAAACAAAAACTCATTTTCCAGTTCTGGCCCTTTCATCTTAAGTTGTGTGACCTTAGGCATGTCACTTAACTTCTCTGTGTTTCATTTCCCTGTTCAGGAAAAGGAGATTAATAATGTAGCCCCTGGGTATCTAATTCTCATAAAATGAGAACCAAATGAGATTGTGTACAAAATGAGGCTACCATTCATCAACACTTAGTATGTGTCAAATACTTCCAATTCCCTTACAGGTTATTTAATTCTCACAGTCCTAAAATGGAGGCCCTAGCGTACCATTTTACAGTTTAAAAAAAAACCCTGAAGTTCAGATAAGTTAAGTCACACAGGACTCAGATCCACATCTCTGGCTCCTAAATTGATGCTCATAATCACTATGCTTGTCACATTGCTTTCCACTGGACACACAAGAGCGGTTTCTATGTCTTCCCCATCGAGCACTCTACAAATGCAAGTGATTATTACCGTCTCCTGTAACCACTGCTGTTCCCTGTCAGTCCCTGAGAACAGTTACATTCTCTTGCTGCTTTATCTTATCTAGCAGTTTATGCTGCCTCTTTCAATGTCCCCAAGGACTTATTTAGTGAATTCTTTTGGGTTTTCTCCCAGAGAAACAGTTCAGCTCCAAAATAATGGGGGTTGAAGGGCCCAAGGCTGAGCCTGACCTCTTGAGCAGTGTCCTGTGACCCCTCCTGGGTTCTTCCCTCCCTCAAGCGTGTAGTCGGTTAGCTTGTAGTAAAATTCCTTATGTTGCATTTGTTAAGCTCTTCAGTCACTGAGTTGTAGAAGGAGAAAACATCAAGGCATTATTTTATTGATGGGGAAACTGAGGCCCAGAGAGAGGGATGACTTGCTTAAGGCCATTCATTCAGTTAGGTGGGTGAGCAAGATCAGAATCCAGTTCCTCAGGTTACAGACCAGCGCTCTTAAGCCTTTCATGTGGACACGTGTCATTTCCCCTAAATGAAGGATGAGCTCACACTCACACTGTGCCCGGCACGCACCTGGAAAACTTTATGGAGAAGTTCAACAGCCTGGAAAAATGAGCAGGAAGGAGATGGGGGCGGGGTGGGGAAGCAGATCTCCACCGTAACCTAGTATTATACACCAGAGAAGTGAATTAAAACTGCAAAGCGAACTAGATAACCCGCAGTTGGCAGTGACTCAGAGGCAAAGGGATTTATGCCGGGAGCCCTGGCCCAGTGAGTGGATAGGAAGCCTTTTGTCAGTAAGGCTACAATGTTGAAAATTGAAGGAAGGATGTTAGGCAGATGTGACAGTGCCCAGGATGCAGTTACAGCCCCCTGGCTTATTGTCCGAAGGAAATGGATCTCTCTTGTGGACTGAGAGGTGGAAACTGAGCTGGGGAGCTGAGTGGTTGACATCATCAGGCTGAGCATTGGATTACAACAAATGGGGACTGACTTGGCCCGAGACGTGGGAAACACCCACTAAAACCTCGAAGTGCATTTTATTTAGGAGACACACGGAGAGGGAGAGAGAAAGGGTAAGAGAATCCTGCCCAGTCTGCTAATCTGGTTTACCCTCAAAAGGGAGGCATTTTGAATCCTGGTTTCTTAAATTCTATCTTCACTTCTGACTGAGGACCCCTGGACTTTGAAGAAACTCTTTGCTCTTGTAAGTAGAACTTCATTCTCCCATCCACAGGGAGAAGCAGAGCTTGCAGGCAGAGCTCCCCGAGAGCTTGATTTTGTTGGTCACAAAGTGTCTATTTTTATATTATGATATATTATTGCTTTGAAAATTATGGCTTTGTCTGAAACTGCTTAGGGCTAGAGTCTGAGCCTCAGGTCTCACAGATGGGCTCCATTCAAACGCTGTTCTACTTTTTTTACCCAAGAATTTTGACAGAGTAGCTAGCTAGAGCTTTAAAAGCAGCTCCTTGCATCAATATAGGTGAAGAAATCCTCCCTTAGAAATTGGTGTTTGTAAAATCTTTATATATTTTTTTCTGATTACAAAGGTAGTACAAACAATTTTAAACAGTCTAGAGAGAAATGTCTCTCAAAGTAAAAATTCCCTACAATATTTCCCTCATATAGTGGAAACTTACCCTCAGTCAGATATAAGATAGATATTTTAAATCTAAGGTACAGATAGGATTAGATTTCATGAAGCTGTCCCACCACATACATGCCAGTGCTTCTGTGGCAGCGTGGAGAACTCTTAGGATGGAAAGAAGCATTGAAAATCTTTTAACTTTGGCTTTATGATCTTTTTATTGCTTCCTTTTAGAAATTTGCTGTTTATGCCTAGAAAATAAAAGCCCATGGGCATTTTATTTGTCTGGTCTGTTTTCAGGATGTTAAAACTACTGAGCCACCGTGAACCCGGTGGGTACCTGAAGTGGCTTGAGGGTTCTCAAGTGGCTTGAGATGCATGGCTTGCAGCTGCCGTGTGTCACCCACTCCCCTGCTCGCAGGTAAAAGTAGTTGAAGAGTCACAGTTAAAGGGAATACAAAAAACCAAGAGCCACCATATATTAGGACCACCTGAGGGAACTATGTGACCCTGGGCAAGTGTGTTTCACATTCTCCGGGCCTCAGTTTCCTCATTTGTATGTAAATGGGGGGGCAAATCTGGATGATCACTAGAGTTCCAAATTCAGCTTGAAATGAACCATCGGTATTTCCTTCCCTTAGGGCCTGAGAAGCAAAGTGCTCTCGGCGCTCAGTGTCAGGATGCCTGGAGGCCGGTACCTCCGGGAGAGTTAAAAGTGCACGAAATGGGCAGCGTTAAGTGACTTCTGAGTCCTTCCGGCCTTGTCAGGGCTGGCCACCCTAGGAAGAGGAGGTTTCGGTGTGATGCCGTGCGTGTGCGTGTGCGTGTGTGTGCACGCTCACAGTGGAGGGGGAAAATGAAAGAACATCACCGAGCAGCGCCGGCCCCGTTCTGTCCCCCCTTTCCGTTCCGCGGGGTCGTGCCGAGGCGCAGTCTCCGGGCCTGTCCCCGTCCCCCTGAACCCTCCCAGTGTTTGCCTGAGCTGTGCCTGCGGGGCTCCCAGCATGGTCCAGGCCCTGTCTCCGCGGATCACACGCACCCTCTGGGACTGTCTCAGCCGCCTGTGTGCCCGCTGCCTGGAGGGGAGCCTGAGAGGGGTGCAGAGGAGACAGCATCCTGAATTTTAACCTAAAGCCCGCCGCCGCAGTTCCTAGCTTGGCGAAAGAGAGGGAGAAAAGGAAGGGAAATCCCTTTCTTTGCCCCCTTCTCCCTTCATTTCACCTAGACGCGGCCTCCACTGCTGCTGGGAAAGGATGGCCAGAGCCAAAGCCCAAAGAAAAGTGAAAGAAGTTGTCAAATCTTGGATTTTGAGTCTCCAAGATTCCAAGTCTTGGTAATTTAAGGGATTTTTATCTTTAAGGCCATCAGACACCCTAACCCTCAGGAAGATGGGGCATTTAAAAACTATCTGCTTGAATTGAGATCTGGGTTACCAGGAGGGTTCTCAGAGGCCCTTGGCATATGTGGAACTGTGGTCTTCCCCATGGGCATGGGCAGTGGGAAGGCCAGGGCCTCCCCTCTGCCTCCCTTCAGCCCCCCAGGATCTGGAGACTTTGGACAATTTGAAAAGTCATCTGTCTTCCTAAGGTGATGGTGAGGAGGTAATACTCTGGAAGTAAGTACTTCCCTGGTCCTTGTGGCTCCTGCCTGGGGCGGGGGAGTGGAAATGTGGTGGAATGCCTCACACCCCTCACTCCAGGCCTTCAGGAACCAGATGACGGTGGCTTTAGTTTCTTGTTCTGTGTTGTCAGAGTCAGCACGGTTTTCAGTGTGCTCTTCCTCATATTTTCCACCTGCCCCCACAGTAAGTTTAGGGCATCTTAGGATAGAAGGTAGGTTATAGAAGAAACTATTATGTCCCAAGTTCTTGCTTGGCTTTCATATCTCTCTGAAATACATGTCACACACAGGGCTGGCCACCTTGCAAACGTGGTGAGGCAAATGTAGGTTTACAGTTCATATGGAAAATAATACTTTTTTTTTTTATTAGAGGAAAGGGGGGAGAAACAGATTTGTTGTTCCACTTACGCATTCATTGGTTGATTCTTGTATGTGCCCTGCCTGGGGATCAAACCCCAACCTTGGGGTATCCGGAGGATCCTCTAACAGAGCTACCCTGCCAGGGCTGCAATAATTAATAAATAATAATACAAGAAAAAACACTGTGTTTAGCGTACTTCCAACTGTAAACCTACTTTTTGCCCACCCTGTATGTCGATTGCCTTTAATATTCACAGCATTGATATGAAGCAGAGATTATTTTCATTTTACGTGTAAAAGAGGCACCGAGGTGAAGTAACTTGCCCAAGGCCCCTCTGCTAACAGGTAATAGAGCTGCATTTCCTCATGAGAACTGGCTCTCCCTGAAGCCCTTGAACTTTCCACCACACTGTGCTGACTTTTCCATATCACCTTCCCAAATCTCAGTTTCTTCATCTATGAAATGAGGAAGCGTGGACTAGAGTCAGAAGTGAAAGTGGTTTGGGTTTTTATTTTTATTTGAGTTTGAATGCCTGTAGGTGGGTGTGTTCTCCCATCTGTTACTATCTGTGCTGTTCCCTAGCCCAGTCCTATTACTCTCTCTGGTCTCTTGCCTGTCCCTTGGCCCCCGTGGGCATTTGCCTTTTCCACCCCTGGACTGGTTGTTGTCCACAGCTCCTGTCACTTTAGACACTTTATGGTTCGGTGAGAAGCCGGGAGGGTAGCAGTAAGAGCCCTGCCCTCATCTCGTCGTCGCTGAGACATCTTGGACAGATCGCCTCCCCTCGCAGGGCCTCTTCTCTTCTGGAAAGTGGGGTCACAATTATATGCCTCAAGGGGTACCAGGAGGATGCAGTAGGGTAGAGCTCATGATGAATTTCGTTGGTACACAAATTCGTGCCCGCGATTAGCTGCTTTATGGTTTCGAGAGAGAATGTTAGCCAGTGTATACAGGCACCTGCCCCTCTGCCACGGCGGCATTTATATGAGGAGCTTGAAGCCATCTCGACCTCAGCACTGCGGAAGCCCCTGTGATGGGCCCTTGAGCTGCCACTTTGGCTTTTCAGACCGAGCCTCGGTGCTACTTCCTGTCACCCTGTCAGGTGCTGAGGCCAAAAGCAGAAGTGGGTGCTGGTCTCCTAGGATCAGGCGACTCTGGCCCAGCCTCTTAAGAAAGAAGCTGGTGGCAGGTGTTACTTTCTGAGTGTGACAAGAAGCCAAGCTGCCCGATTAATTCTGTTTTGACAAGGGACCAGAAGTGATTCCTAAGTGGAGACAGACTTGGAAAATCTAAAGTTCTTGGAAGCAAGTCATTAATCATGACTCAAAGCTGAGCTCACTACCTCCTGGAAGTCACACATGCCTTATGAAAACTGAGTGTGTACTGCTCTTTCAAAGAGCAGTTTCTTTGGAAGTTGCAGTCAGTTGTGATGCTGAATGATTCCAAATTGCAGATTTAAATGCATCCGCTCTTACTGGAGGAAGCCAGCATTCCTCACTTTATTTAAAAGGAATCTCTTTAATCTTCCAAGAAATTACTGATCTTTAACTTGGCTTTTCGAAACTGAATAATGGACCTTCAGGGCACTTAAGAAATGAAGTATTTGGTAGCTAATGCGTACTTACTATGTCCCAGGGACCTAGGCCAGTCATTATGTTTAGAACTTTATAGGAGTGGTTTCTGACATTCAATACACTGTACTGAGGGTCAGCTAGGACTAAGCACAAGGCTAGAACAACAGGCTGATTAAGAGACAGCCCCTGCTCTTGTGAGTTCTTAGTGCTTCAGGGAAGACGGGCAGGTGCATGAGTGAGTCCAGGATGGAGGTCCTGACCCAGAGCCCGGTTGATTACTGCCAAGCTTTCCCTCCATTTCCTTACTCTCCAAGCTTTGCCAGCATTTGTATTAAGGAGAAATGAGAGCTGCCCCCTGCTGAAGCTTTCACTCCTGGCACCTTCCTATCCTGCATGGTTTCAAAGAAAGGAAGTGTTCACAAAATGCAGGGGCCCCACCATAGAGGACCCTAAATCTGCAGTCCCAAGTTTAGTAAGGAAACAGAGGGGTGGGTGATTTTGTAGTCTAAATCATCACTGGATTTTCTGTTGGTTCCTTTTTATACCATTTATTGTGTCAGTTTGTTTTTTTGGATTACAAAATTAGAACATGTTCATGGAAGGAAAGCTAGACAGTTCAGAAAAACATACTTAAATCATCACCCACTGATTTCACTTCTCTGATTTTTTTAATAAGGCGTGGTTAGGTCAAAGGCATGAACCTTTTAAGATTTCTAATATTTCCAGTTTGGCACCAGAAAGCTTCTCCCTATTAAGGTCCCATTAGCATGCGTTCCCCCCTCATCCTCTCACCCACACACTATAGCTGCATGAAAAGTTTAATTCTAATTTTAATTTCTCCCTGGGCAGAGTCTGTTTGCATATCTGAGGTGCTCAGCCGGTCAGGCCTCTGGGTAGGGGGAGCCCCTGTTTGGCTGGCTAGAGGCTGCAGCCTGCATTTGTACTTACCGTGTGTATTCCTGAGCTCATTCACCTTTGGGTTCGGCATTACGCAGGGTGCTCTGGGGAATACCTAGGTAAGTAAGACTTACAAGTAGCTCAGAGGCCGATAGGTAAAGAAG